TCAGCTTGTTAGAGAATCTCATTGATCACTGGAAGTTAAATATAACTGAGTTTTGGGAGAAAAAAAAGATGCATACAAATCAGCCATGATCAAGCACTGATGAAAAATATTTTTTTAAGTATTTGAAATAATTCATGCCACTGTAAAACTCAAGACTTGCCTGTTGTGAAAAGAATGTGAATCTTACACACTGAAAACAAGCGGTGATCTGTCAATGTGCTGAGTTTGCAATTTATGCAAGGCCATGTTGCCATGTTGTATCATGTTGCATTATGTTGGCTTCATTTATCATATTTTTACGACTTCTACACGCTGCTGTGGTCCTTGCAAGACATATTGGGACCTTTTTGGTAATTGCAAACATTTCAGAAAATGAGATTGAGGTCATTCGATATGCCCATTTCTTTCCTTCCCCCTTCCTTTTCTGCTGGCTGATTGAAATATCCCCAGCCTGTCTGTGTTTGAACCTGTCTGCTAGGTAACATTTCAAAATCAGGTTTAAATGCACCTTGAACATTACTGTCTTATTCACCTTGCTGTCATCTGTCACACACTTGTTACAGAGACACACACTCAAGCGCTCATGTCATGCACACAAATGCTGTCTGACAGGTGACATTTTTAGTTAGGTCTAGTCTGTCGGGTGGGTGTGCTGTTACAGAGCCACCAGTCTGGTTCTTCCAGTGCACACACACAAACACACACACACACAATGACACACACACTAAATCTGTGCTAATAATACAGGATTAACAACGAAATTAAAGGCCCTTGAACTTTGAAAATATTTCACATGACATCAACAGGAGTTACAGTAAGCAGCTTTTAAACCTTCATCAACATTGATTTTCACATACATTTATTTTCTTTCACTTTGCCACCTCTTTTGTCTTTTTAACTGCTAAATAGCACCAGTGTGAGGGATGGCACACAAGCGCCACAAAGTACGGGCAAACTGCTGATGTAATTGCACAGAGGTCAAAGCGAAAGAAAGAAGGAATCCATTGTTGGGACTCCACGCTGGCCTCTCACGCATCATTGTGTCACACCTCATTATCTCTGCCAGAACTCTGACCTCCCGAATCACGCTCGGGCCCTAAGGCTCCATTGCCCAACTATGTGCAGCGTTGGTTTATGTTTTTGCTCGCATGTGTTTTTGACACACTGAACATTTCAGAGAGAGATAATCAGCTTAAATATGGCCAGATGCAGGCAGTCTATTGGCTAGCCAGTTAACTGTATACATAACAACATACGGACAGCGTTAAAGCCCGTTCAGTAACATGAGCCCACAAACTGTGGCTTAAACACACGAAAAAGCTACAGATGTCAAAACTACGCATCCAGAATCAACTAAAACATAGTGGATGTTAAGCCATTTTGGAGTACCTTCTTATTTGCCATAAAATACCAACAAATAACAAATTCTACCAGATTTTAATCTTCCAACAGTCTTTCGAAAAGTCAGTAATGTCCTTTCTATTCTCTTCTAAATTTCTTTTAGTTAGCTTTCTATTAGTTGACTAGTAAATTAAGTTTAGGGACACTAGTTAGAAATAATGAAGCTGCCCCCTGTTAAAATACATTCGAATCTGCAATAAATGGCTGAATTGAAAAAGGATATTTCCCATCCAAAAAATTAGGCCAGACGAAGTTGATTTTTTTGGACGACTATAAAAATAAATCACCCTACTTCTCAATTTATCTGGAGCTTGTCACGCCTGGGGGAATGTCTCGTCTTGATTACCTATTGTGTACACCTGGGGTTTCCCTCCCTCATGTGTTTAAATAGTCCTCGTTTCCCCTTGTCTGGTGCGGGGTCGTTCTTGTCTTCTTGCCTTGTCTCTTGTCCTTTCGTCCGTCGTCACCCCCACGCCAGGTTTGTTTCGTTATAGTTCTGCCACAGCCACAGTCATAGTCACGTTTTGTCATAGTCTTGTTAATCTTTATTTTGTTACTTTGTCATAGTTTTTCCACAGTCTTGTTTGCTTGCTTTGATACTTTGCCCACAGTTTGCCACAGCTTTGTTTTGTACTTTGTCTGGACATTCACCCTGTTTGTACAATAAACCTTGTTTCCCCTTCATTCCGCGACTGAGTCCTCCCTCAAGACCCACCTCCCTGACAGAGCTTGAGTTTCTGACTTCAATCAGCATGATGTTACTTTTGTTTAGCTTTAGATAAACAATAATCACAGAACTTTGAATAAACAATGAAACAGGGTAAACTTTAAGGTTGGACCACCATGTGACACATGGGCTGCTTCCCAGATTGTCCAGCAGATCCACAAAGTTCAAAGGTTACCATTCAACTAAAATCTAGAATCTGATGTGTGTTGTCTCAGTGATTAAGCAAACGCATATCTATGGAAGCATAACACCAGTGATTAATAAAATTACGTTATTGTACCAAGCATAATAAAGAAATACGTTTTAAAGTTTTCGGATTGTTCAGCGATAAATAGTAGCAGCTACGTTCGAAACATTTCTTACAACTAAACGTACATTTCTAAGTAAATTAGCATAAAAAAGTTCACTTCACTCATAAATGTGTTTGCTATTAATAACAACCTCAATGTGTCCAGAAGAGACTCCTAACTCATTTATTAATATATAAAACACATTTTTTTTCCAACCATATTATCTTACTTTTATTCAGCAACATCTGTAATATTATTATCTGTTATCTATTGTTGGTGTACACTAAAGAATATTATGTCAGCTGCAGGTGTGGGTGCAGGGTGTCATTTACAAGGCCTTTAAAATCATGTCACTGTTTTGTGTTTCAACAGTGTCTTTTGATAGCGCAGCCCCGTATAGCGTTGTCATGACTCAAGGCGTGCAAACATTTCCAACATTTTTCACAGAAACTGAATTTAGCTTTTGACGGCTGTTTGTTTAAAGACAGTGCCTATTTCATTACCCACACTTGAGACCTTTGAGTAAGCGGCACAAAAGGAATCCGAAACACCTGCCTGCGTGTGTGGAGATCAGATTTGATCTGCGTAGGGGAAACACAGGCGGGCTCTGCGTAGACAAGATTGAATCAAGTGTACTCATAAGGCATCATCAGAAGTGCTGCAGAGGCAGCATTAAAAATGAGTAAAAAGCAAAAGATAAAAAAATTAATAAAGAATCCCCCAGCCCCAAACATTAAGATAATTAACATTAGTAGTTGTATCATTTTAGTAATTTCAACCTCACATCTGAATTTATTTTTCCATAAGATTTGCTATTGGCAATGGGAAACCATGTCATAAACTAATATCCAGCACAACCACAAAAATCTTGAATGGCTTAAGTCTGGATTCTACGGTCTGTAATTCCATCCATCTATCCATTATCAATACCGCTTATTTCCTGATGGGGTCGTGGGGGGAACTGGAGCCTATCCCAGTGGTCAACGGGCGAGAGGCAGGGTGTACCCTGGACAGTCCGCCAGTCCATCGCAGAACCAGGTCTGTAATTCATGTGTAAGAAATCTCTCATGCTCCCATAACCATTCTTTTACAGTGTGAGCTCAACAAATCTTGGCATTGTCATTTTAGATTATTGCCCATTCCATCAGGTAAAAGGTTACCAAACTCTTTAGACACATAACTTTGCTGAACCTGCAACAGCTGAAGCATCTCCAGATCATGACTCTGACCTGGTGGGTTTGTCTGGCTGGCACAAGACACGAGTGGCCCAGCACTTCATCCATCTTTGAAATCATTAGAACACAGGACAGTTTTTGTTGTTTAAAGGTCCAGTGTTTTTGTCCCCTAACAAATCTAATCTCTTCTGTGGCACCACTGAGAAATAGTTTTCCTAAGGCTAAACAGCTGACTGTTTTGTCTTCTGAACATGTCCATGAACTACTCGGTTGATTTTCTTTAATCTAATATTAACAATAATAGATGTATCAATACTTTTTTCCAACAATCAGTTATTGGTCAACAATGACACTTCAACAAGAGTTCCTGATGGTTTTCTTATAAACCCAAAAGCACTATATATTTTTTTTTGTTTTTTTTACAATTATATATAAGCCTACACACACGGGAAAGAAACACACTGGAACCCCTTGATGCGAAGACATAAATTGCATCTCCGAATGAGCCATTTAAGTTTGCAGCCAGCTGTGGTGAAAAACCTTCTGCCTCTGTCTTTTGGACAAGTTCACCCATTTAACATCAGTCCACTCTGCCAAATATTAAATGATTAACCCACCGTTGTAATTCACTCACTAAAGCTCATACAATTAAACATTTAGAAGGGAAGTTAAAATCATAGAATGAAAAGACTTCATGTTATTTTGAGATGAAAATAGGCACACAGGGGTAACACAGAGACTTAATGGAAAAATAACTAGTACACTGGTGTGTGGATGATTCAGCTCTCTTGTACTTACTAGCAGCAGTTAATGCTTCTTTTCCCCACAAACTATAACAGCCCAGCGTGTTCATGCTTGCAAAGTTATGAAACTAAATATCTTTTTGTCCATCCCACACCTCCACACATCCGTATTCTAAAACAGATTCAGCCCCCACATGACTCATCTATGGAAACTGATACTAAGTAAAAATGCAGCAATTTACAATACTGTTATAACGATTAAGCTAAATGAAGCAAAGATGTGTTGTCTCAGTGGGAAAATGAGAGGGAGGTTTGGAATAAAATGTGTTCGCCAGTACGCCATTCCATCCCACGCAAAGCCAGACAGTGCGGTTAATAATCATTTATTTGGTTTTTGGCCACTGTTCCAGCCTATTAATAAGCCCCAAAAGATTAGAGACAGTATTAATGAATAGGCTGCGGGGAGAAATGTCACAAGAGTACAGCAGAATGTAGGACGACAGATATATCACCTGATCAAAATGTGCCTCAAGAATAGTAGTTTTTTTCTGAAATGTTTGTGTTGTGGTCTGCACAGCATGAATCACAGGATAATTACCAACATGAAGCCTGGCATTAATGACCATCTGACAACAGGGATAGGAGGTGGAAACGCCCATGAGCCTCACCTCTCTTCCAGCTGTTGAAGGTTTTTTCTCAGCTCCTCTACGTTTTTATTGGCCTTTTGAAGTGAGTCACTCAGAACCTTCTCTCTCCCCTTTGCATCCCTCTCCAGCTCTTCCCTTTGCTTTCTCACTTTCTTCATGGCCACGTCTTCGAGCTCACCTCTAAGTCGTCTCTCTCTCTCTTCACACTTTTCCCGATACTCCTCCTCCATCTCTCCCTGCCGACTCTCATATTTCGCCTCAAATTCCTCTCTCAGAGCTCTCACATTGTCACGGTTCCTTTCTTCCAGCTCTTCTCTGGTGTGTGTTTCCCTGATTTCTGCTTCTCTCTGCACCTGCAGGTGAAGTGTCTTCTCCCACTCCAGCCTGTCCAGCTCCAGGGCCTCACGCTGGGCCTTTTCTCTCTGGGTGGTCTGTCTCAGGTCCTGGAGCTCGGCCTCTAACTGAGAAAGCTGAGTCTGGAGTTGATGGAACTCGTGAAAGATGAGGTAGCTTACGCCGCAGTAACGGCACACGGTCTCACTGCGCTCCATCTGAGAGGAAAAGGGAAACACGGTTTATTGGATATCACGATTTGGTCAATTCTCATCAGTAAGTGCCATTCACATAACTTTCTAAAAAGGGACTTCTTTTAACTACAAATGCAGGCAGTAAATACAGTTAGTGCTCAAGCATTTTTATGCCTTATATTTAGCACTGTATGAAAATATATAGTACATACCACAGCCTGCTTAGCAGGTCATTTCGTCACAGATAGCTGAAAGAACTGAACTTTGAATGTGTATCAGGCTGCTATCAAAGCCAGAGGATTCTGCATTCATCCCAGACATTTTTCACAGTGTAAATTGTCTTAACATGAAATATCAATACCTCAATGATGACATTGAGGTATCTACAATAATATCTTAGATAGTGTGGGAATGCACGAATAAAACAGAGAGACATTAAAGTTTCATCCACATTATTTTTCTGGGAATGGAAATGTGAGCACTATTTTTTGTTGTGTTGTTTAGCTGCTGAAAGATTCAACCTGACAGCTACAAATTCCGTTAGCCATCTAATTTTTTTCAACTGTCATCAAAAACATATTTCTACTGTATCTGTCAGCAATTCAAAGGAGAGGAACACAAGTCTCCTGAAGTCACTCTTTCACATATTGTCTTTCTCGTCTCTTCTCTCACGCATGATTTTTCTCTCTCTGTGCATGTCACTGTACTCGGCAAGAGGCTGTCATTTCTTTTCAGCTTGTGAAGGAAGAGATCTTGTCCCTGGATCTTTCATCTTCATTTTGATGTGCCGCGCAGTGGCAGTTGATATTTGGGTGATATGCCGACAGCAACCACGTTAGAAGACTCCGAGCACACGGCTCCATGATGTAAACACGGTGAAATAAACGTACAGAACTGAAATGCTTGAGAAGACAACAATCAACAGATCCTTGTTGTTCCACCGAAACTAAAAGCTGTAAAAACTAGTGTAAAATATATTCACTTTGGCCAGTGTCATATCTGAACAAGATTTTTCTGTTTTCTAAAGAATGCATTTCTTCAAACCGTTCATACAAACATTCCTGCCTCAGAAATGTCATTTTGGGTGACCTAGTGACCTTTAGCATCTTGCCACAGGCCTAAAAAACAGTAGACAGGCATATTTTGTGGCACATCTTTGAGGAGAATATGTGAGGTCATCAAAAAATGCAAATAACTAACGTCTTGGAAAAATCCTGGAAGAATTTTGGTTTTAGATTATTTTGAATATGCAGACACAAACCCACATGCATGCATACGTTTTGGTTTTTAAATGAAAATATATCTCCAATAAAGCTGAAAGTAAAGAAAAAGCAGTGCGCTTTCAACCGAGACGAGCAAGAGGAATTAACTTTTTCCTCTTCACACTAAATGAATGTCAAACAGAATCACAGGGTGGAAGTCAAGATGGACAGACAAAACACACAGCATCACTTGGAAGCCTTTGACATGACAAATGACTGACAGGTGACATGAGATTAGGCCTCTTTCCCACAGTCTTTCCCTTAGTGGTCGCGTTTAACCTCCTCCCTCTGCCCCCACCTATCACGCTAACTTCTCACTCCATGTTTGCAACTTGTCTCTCCATGTCAGGTGATGGTACAGATTACGTCTGCCTCACGTCTTCAGAACAGCTGAAGTCTGTCTTCTAGCAGAGGTGCAAGTAGAGACAAAAACAGACAAAGTTTTACTAGCTCAGACAAATTACTAAATTCAAGAATGCAAATGTGCATCTTAAAGTATTGCTCCACAAGAGCTTTACTTTCCCCTTTCTGCCCATATGTGTTTTTTAAGCGCTGCATGACATATCACTTGCACCATCAGCCACCGACCCTGCAGCTGCGTGTCTCTGCTTTGAATTTTCAGATCTTCTGCCCTCAGCTTCGGTAAGGCAAAGTCAGACATCCTGTTTATTTCACGAGGACGATCTGGGGCAATGCCTCTGGCAAGTTCTGGGTGAAGTTTGCATGTGCAAGGTGGCAAGGCAAGTGATCTGGTTGCTGAAAGGGCAGAATAACCGTGTTCTATTCACGACAATGATGTCTTATTCAGAGATGATTAAGTACAGCAAAAATACCAGAAGAGAACACAGTGCTGCCATCTTCATTTTCCAGAGATCCCTCTCAGAATTCGTATCCATAGACAGCCTGCTTTCGCAACTGCACCAATTAGAAAGCATGCCATGCGAGTAAAAGCAGGCTTTTCTGTGAGCTTGTTCTCTTTCATGCGTTTTCTTACAAGACACCTGTCTAGGAGTGTATAGGTGGTTCCCCGTCGTGGTCACTGGTTCTGGCTCAACTGGGCACAGCCAGCGTCAATGGTGTCTACACCAGGGAGGGAGAAATCCGACACAGGGAGCTTTCAGATAAGAACCAAAAGCATCAGCTGGGTTTAGCGCTTTACAACGCAATTCTAGCCACTGTGCTACAACTAGCAAGTAGGCCCACTAAAAGCCTCAAATGGCATGCTGCTACTTTATTATAAAAAAGTTTTTTCTCTCCATTTCATTTATGAATATAATTCAAGCTGCCAGGGAAAAAATCACAAGCAGCACCGCCAAAAGTCCCACCACAAATTGACTGTATTTCCAGGCTATGTCTTCCTTTTACTGGGTAAAACACAGTGTATGTGGAAGACACTGTGTGGAGGCAGGCTTTTTCTGGTGAGTTGACCACACACTGTGTCAGGCTATCGAGTGATGAGTGCTGTTGAGACCGTCTCTCTTCACTGAGCAGACTGTTACTGAGACCTGCGCTGCACTGGGGCATCCCAGGAAATTAAATACAAGCAATTTAAATGTCAAGACACATCAAGAATCTCATTCCTGAGTCGATAGTTATAGCTTCTGTCAGAGTTCAAGGCATCGACTTTTTTTTTTACAGTTTAAAATCTTGTAATGATCGTAGATGGATTAGGCAATAACGAATACCCAACCTGGAATTCTATTCAATATCAATGACAGCATTACTTACCTTTAAGAATAAACATTATACAAAATGGCACAGTATATCATTATGATGCTCATTACACTGAAAACACAATCAAATTTGCCCTTTAAGATTTTACATTTCCTACTGTTAGCAAAACAAATAAACGTCTACTTGATGGAATGGACAAAAATGGGCCAGAGACGATAGACAGGAAGAGTAGGAAGGTTTATTTGTGTGGGAGGTGAAGAAGCTCCACAACAAGACAACATATTACACTGTGTTGCCACAGAATGTACTCTGGAGAATAAGGGCTATTATCTGAATTTGAGTGTGTGAGAGACGGGGAGAGAGGCAGAGCGGGTGAGTGCGTGAAAGACTGAGAAATATTTGGGACCGAAGCCCGGGGGATTTTGGTGTTTACTGTGCAGATGTCCTCATGGTTCCTGCTGGCAAAGATAGAGCAAAAAACAGCCGAGAGTCGAGTGTTTCCCTGGGACTATGCGTTGTATTTTGTTTAAAAAAGCCTATGTGTATAAATTTATGGGAGTGTGCATGTGTGTTTGGAAGTGAGGGTGTGGTGGTGAACTCTTTATGCAAGTGATTAAGTTGTGTAGTCAAGAAAACAGGCAACAGGGGAGGTTTGGGGAGGGCTGTACACAATGTTGAAGTGGCCTGAGGGCGGAATCGTGCCAAAACTAAAGCCCAAAACACACACGCATATGCACACCCACACAACACACATGTAAGTGCTTTTCATGCTTACACTATCTGAGCCAAATGCAGCCAAAAGACAATTTTGCAAATCCAGAGACAAATTAAAGGAAGATACAAAAAAAACACCCAAAGACGGACAAACGGGCACATAAAAATCCACACTAACACAAGCACAAACATGTTCACGGGTTCACTCAACAGACAAAGATACACAGAAGCAAACACAAGGGCCAATTTGCTCACATAAACATCTTCAGAAAGATGTTCATTCTGAAAACACACCAAAACACAGTTCAATGCACCCCCTGAGGGTGTGTATTGAAGTGTGTTGTGTGCTGCCGTGACTGAGTTGGGCCCCGCTGAGGTGACCCCCAGCACGTTCACACAGCACTCAAAGCGCAATGTAACCCCTCCTCACGCCAACACGTATACGAACGCACACACACACACACACACACACACACATCACTTCCAACACACAAACACAGATGCTTCAGAGAATACATAAGAAAGACGGAGCGTGCAAAGGAGCTGGGGGATGGGGGGATGGAAGTGAGGGAAAAAGGCAAACTTATGGAAAAGTGGGAAAATGCTGTCTTGCTGTCCTTCATGCAGAATAATACATCCATCAGAAAATACAGCCAGTGCCTTTTTTCCATGAACGTTGAATTCTTCATGCTGTGACAGTTCATGTATGGGAATTCTCTGAAGCACAAACCATCCATCCTAATTTTTTTCTTTATTTAAAACATAAAAATGAACACATTTGAAAGGAGAGACTGTTTGATAATGACCAACTGATGTCAATGTTGAACTATAAACTGATTTTACAGCACACGGAAATGCATCACAACATAACTTTACCTGTGTGAAACAGTAATTCAACCAAAGCTGAGAGGCCACCAGCAATTCAGGCCGTGTATTTATTTATCTGGTCCAGTCTGGTTCAGCCTTTATCTCCAGAGCACAGGCTCTTGAGGATCGTACTACTACAAGTCTACCTTCCAGCAGGTTCCCGGATCGACACGTCTAACACGGCTGTGGACTCATCAGTGGATCAGCATTTGTGACGGGAACCCCTGAACATTTCACATAATTTCTACCATGTCTCTGTGCTCCATCAATTAAACATGAGGGGCTATTGCCTCTTACCCGCTTTGAAATATTTAGTGGAGTAGTGTAGGAGAGACAGAGCAGGGGTGCTTGGTGTCTTGAGGAAAACATGATTTCTCTTTTCTTTTTTTCTTTTTTTACCTCTATCTGAAACTAAAAGCATCCAGTGTACAAATGACAATCCTGAGCTGAGGGAGAAGAATGACATTAAATGAAACATCTTTTGCACTCTGATAACTCGTCTCCTTTTACGGTTACTCCCCATCTATTTCCTTCTTTATTGTTTCCCTAATGCAACACTTCCTCCAAGCATCCCATTTCCCATTTGTCTTCCTCTCCTTCCCCCCCTAAACAACTGTCTTTTCCTTCCTCCCCTACATATCATCCTGCTCATTTCCCTTGTCCACCTCCGCCTCCTCGGCCCCTTGCTGCCGTGACCCATCTGGCTCATCAAAAACACCAGAAGTGGGTCACCGTCACGAACATGGAGCCTTCATTCTCAACACACACAGATGTAGTAACAGACACACACTGACACACTAATATACAAATTACCCCCTGCATCCATATGCACACCCAAACACAGACACTGTGACTGAATCAGACCCAACAGGCAAGACACCACTGTGCACACTGACACACACAAACACAAAAACACACACACTCTGGAGTATAGTCTTGGCCTGGCTCATTGACAGCCATCAATATTCAAGCTAAAGTGTCAAAATTAATTTAAAAAACTACACATAACCCAATTATTTATATCACAAGTGTTGAAAAAGCAATGAAAATACACATTATATTCAATATAAGAAATCACTTACAATATAAGGTACATCTAAATGTACCCTTTTCATTTAACTTAAAAACACAATTCCTAGAAAACTGTATAGCAAACGCAAGTCTATAGTTATATAGGTTATTTTTAAACTTTATTTAACGAACATAAGGAAAAAGGAAACTATTTTCAGTCAAGCTCAGTTGTATCTCGGTATAGAAATAGATTTAGATGCTTAAAAAACATAATAAAGATGGGATGAGTTCATGTTCACTGTTATGTTCCACACTGGACACAAGATTTCATTATTCCAAGGTGTTATCTGGTGGACTCAGTCAAGAGCACACACACATGTCTATGAAGCCCTGTTGTTTTACCACATGAAAAATGAGGCCTGGTTCTGAAATAAAGATTGACCTTTTAGGAAAATGTTTGACTTTGATTGTATAATATGTGTGTCCAAACTCCTAAAATAAAAAAACAGTCTAAGAAATATTGCTTCCTCTGTTACTGCCTTTCTGTACTGAAATGAGCTCGTGCTCAAAGGGCTCGACAGCGCTTCTGCACAGAGCTGATATTTGGCTTTCTCCATGCAAAATGTAATCTCTGTGATACAGTGTCCGGGTGTGTTTGGTGACACTGTTTTTCCAAAGTGCTCCTCAGCCAATGTGGCTATACTGATTATGGTGGAACAGTTTCTCGTGCATTGTATTGCCGCAGCTCGAGGGTCACATGCATCATACAGAGGATTCCACTTGGCCTTTCTGCAAAGAGACTTCCCCCGGCTCAGTAGATCTTTCCACAGTATTGTGCACTGTAGATGCTGAAATTCTGTGCAATTTTGCATACAGAAATATATCCAAATTAATAATGTTCTGAGAGGGTTTGGCACAAAGTTCTGAGCCACAGCTCATCCTTGCTTGGAAAGACTGAACCTCTGCTGGTTACTTCTTTTATACGTCGCACATAAAACCTTGACCTCTCTCCAATTATTCTGCTGCTTTTCTGATCTGCCAGAACAGCGCTAAGGTCGCAGAAAGTGGGTGGAAGTGTTTCTCCCAAGTACCTCCTTTTGGCATTTCATTAAAAAAAAAGGCTCTGACAAAACTTTTTCTTGTTTTTCTATAAACAATTTTTAGGGAACACACACACATTTGAACTTTTACAAAGTATTTGGAAGCAAAAAAAGCTTTTGCCCCTTTGCTTTGTATAATCTGTATAATGGCTAAGTATTCGCTTGGCATTGTTGTTCACCATGAGCTTCAAACAGAGGATGCTTGATCTCTTCGTGTCAATAGATAAGCTTTGCACAACTCTCTCTCACATTGGTTGCACAAAGAGGTTGGAGGATGGAGAAAATTATTGTGGAA